GGCGCTGCCCCGAGAGGGGCCGCCCGGAGCGGCTCCGCGGCCGCGCGGCCTCGGCAAAGAAGCGGCCGGTCCTCCGTCGCTGGCGGCGAGCTCCGCGCGGCGTAAAGCGCGGCCCGGCGGGGATCCCGCGGACGCGGAGCGGCGGCGAAGGCGAACCCGCGCTCCCCGAAGGTCTCCGGGCGGGGAGCCGCCGCGTCCCCAGGTAATCGGTCCGTGGTCGTGCTGCTCTGGCGGCGAGCGAATGCTCCGGGTGCCTCGGCTGCAGGCGGCCGCGAGGGGTCTGCCAGCAACCCCTGTGCCACAGTCGGATCACTGCCTCACGAGGTCTGAACTGGGGGCCAGTCCCCCCCCTCCAATCAGGGTGCAGGCCTGGCGTCTTCTGGATCCTGATGGCGCCCTGCAGGCTCTGCGGGAGCTTCCAGCCGATGGGACTGGCACTCCCGTCGACGCCCCCCCGCCGGTCCGGTCTGTGGAATATGGGAACGACGTGGGCAGGCGACGCGATCGCCCCCCAGTGCCCCCGGTGGCTCGGCGTGCGGCTGCATTACAGGCGATGAAGGAGGCGACCAGAGCGCGGCCGAACACGCTTGCGGGCTCATCACTGAGCCTGTGCTGTGGCGCCGAGGGTGGCCAGGCAGGGAGTCCTCGCACGGCCGGCACATCCTCACCGCACTGTCCAGGGCTTGCTCCATTCCGGGCCTAAGACAGACCCACCGCACCATCGACTTTGCCCAGCACTTTAGAGATAAAGTCGCTCAGATTTGCCGCAAATCGGTACTCACAGTTGATGTGGTCCTGGAACGGGAGGCGTCCAGAGCGCCATCTGGTCCGCCCTTGTTGGAAAGGTTTGCCATGGGGTCCCGCAGGGCTCCATTTTATCCCCCATGCTCTTTAACACCTGCATGAAACCGCTGGGAGGTCACCTGCGGGTTTGGGCTGCGGAGCTGTCAGTGCGCTGACGACACCCAGCCCTGCCTCTCTTTTACATCTGATCCAGGTGAGGCAGTGGCCAGGGTGATGGGCTGGATGGGGGCCAACAAATTCAAGCTTAATCCAGGCAAGATGGAGGGCCTGTTGACAGGCAGTTCAGCCTTCTGGGTAAGGGATTTTAGCCCTGTTCTGGATGGGGCTGCACTCCCCCTAAAGGACGGGGTGCGCAGTTTGGGAGTGCTCCTCAACCCGGAGCTGTCCCTGGAGTCCCGGGGGGGGCAGTGGCGAGGAGGGCTTTCCTTCAGCTTGAGCTGATCCACCAACGGCGCCCTTACCCGGGTGGGCACTGCCTAGCAACGGGGACCCTCGCTCTGGTCACCTCCCAGCTGGACAACGGTGATGCGCTCTGCGTGGGCTGCCGTTGGGTGCTTCCCTTGGCCCAGCACAGAGCAGCCAGGCTGCTGGCGCCACCTGCACTTGCGGCTTGTGCTACACCTTCGTCAGGACGGTTGCAGTACGTCTTCTGGGGACAGACTGAGCCAAAGCAGGAGCTGAGCCCTTCGGCCTTCCCTTTGTCAGCTGCTGCTGCTGCTCCATCCATGGCGAGCAGCTGAACTCCCTTTGCCTTTGTCCGTCTGTCACTTGGGAGGTACTTGAAGGCGGCTTTTGGAGCTCCCCTGCCAGCCTCGGTTCAGCCTTCCCGGCTCATCTCTGCAGTTCCTTGCTATCTGCTTACATTCTTCCTTCGCAGGCTCGCCTTCCTTCCACCGCCTGCACACGCCCCTTTTCGCGTTCAGATCTCTTAGCTTCCGAGATCCTTCTCGCTCGCAGTACCGTGGAGACAAGCGTCCCTCGTCTAGTAACAACGTATTTGGCTTCCTTTCCCCAGGTGCAGGACATGGGTATTTGTCCCTGTTGAATTTTGCTCTGCGGTTTTCAGCCCGGCGCTCCAACCTGTCAAAGCCACCTGAATTCTTCTTGCCCTTTTCCAGGGTATTGGCCACTCCACCCAGTTTTGTGTCATCTGCGAATCTGAAAATCGCTCCATGCAGACACAACTGCAAATATGATATTGGTGAAGGCTCCCCTGTTTGTCTTTTATCTTCTGTAGCGAAGACTGATGAAAAGTACTATTTTTTTGTAATTTTCTTCTTCCTCTTCCATATATATATGTACATTAGTATCATCTAATGGTCCAGCCGCCTCTGGCTGGTTTCCTTTCCCAACCTGTGCTATACATTCCAGCTGAGCTTCAAGTACCGTGGTCTGGGTAAACGCCAAGCCGCCTGAAGCGGTGTAACTCTCTTCTGAGGATCGTGGCCTGGAAGGGGCCAAGGCGGCCACCAGCCCCAACCCCCTGCCAACACGGGACTCCAAGTGCAAGCATCAGCTGACCGGGTCAGCGCTTCCGTTGTTTTATTTGCTCTAAAGCCAGGAAGTGCTTCCCGGGGGCTTCCTGTCATTCAGTGCCTGCACTCAGGCACAGCTGAGAGGCGCTCCTGGCCCCCCCATGCAGCAGCCTTTCAAATACTGCCCTGTCTCCTTTCCGTCTTCTCAGGGCTAAGCTTGTCCAGTTCTTCCAGCCTTGCCAAACAGGCTCCGTTTGCAGCCCTCTGATCACCTGTTTGCCCTCCCCTGAACCTATTTGCTGAAGCCAGGGTAGCTTCGGCTCTGTGGCAGTAGAGACACAAATAACCCGTTGCCTCGTTTTTCAGCCATGGTGCCCAGAACTGGGCACAGTGCTCAAGCTGAAGCCTAACCGATGGGTAGAGGGGGATAGAAACATAGACACAGCACGAGCCGGAAGGGGCCTCCCGGGCCATCTAGTCTGACCCCCGGCTCCAGCCGGCTCCGCTCACAACATGCCCACCATGTGGACGTCCAGCCTGTCCTTGCACACCCGCACCGATGGGGCCTCAGCTGCCTCCCGTGGAAGCCCCTTCCACACCCTCGGGATGCATGTGATTTGGAAGTGGTGCGTCTATTAATGATGGAACCCAAAATAGCATGTGCCCCTTTTGCAGCTTCATCAGTGTTGGCTCATATTCAGTTATCTATAGTAATTCCAGGATCCTTCCTGCATATAGTATTGTTGAGCCAAATAGCCTGCGATACCTGTGCAAATCTTTTTTTTCTGCATGCAAAACCTGGCATTTAGCTTTATTAAGTTCCATTCTGTTTTCAGCCCAACACTCCAATTTACCAAGATCACATTGAATTTTGTCTTTTCTTGGCCCACCCAATTTGGCATCATCTGCAAATTCATCACATATTCCCTTCACCTCTTCATTAAAATTATTAATAAAATGGTGAAAAGCAGTGGGCCCAGGACTGAATCCTGCAGCACCCCACTTCTTATCTGTCCTGCCTGAGCAGGTGTGATTCTGCAGCCAAATGATGTTTGATCCAGCCCACATACAGCCAGTTTGCTAACCGGGACATCACGGAGCGGTGTGCCAACAGCCTTACTGAAGTCGGGGGGGTGTTCAGTCTCCAGCATTCCCAGTCCTCCAGGGAAGTTACCCAATCAAAAAACGGAATCAGATTATTCTGGCAAGATTTGTTCTTGATAAATCCATGTCGTCTTCTAGTAATCACTGCATTGTTTTCAAGGTGTGCGCAGACCGACTGCTTGGTAATCTGCTTCGGAATTTTCCGTGGTTTATGTTTGCCTGGCTGGTCTGCAGCTCCCAGGCTCACTGTTTGTCCCCCTTTCTTGAATACAGGGACATGTGCCCTTCTCCAGCCACCTGGCGCTTCCCGTCCTCCATGCCACCTCGAAGATGACAGACCGTGGCTCAGAGTGCTGCTGCTGGCGCGATTATGACTCCGAGATGCAGCTCATCAGGTCTCGGAGATCGGAACCCAAAGCAAGCAGCCTCCAAGTCCAGTCCCGTCATTCCCACGGATATTTCGCCTCTGCCAGGGAGGTCACATGCCCTCTGCTGGGAGAAGACCGCGCCAAGGTAGGGACGGAGTGCATCTCCTTCGCGATCCGTTGCCATTCGGCCGAGCCGGTTCCCGCCACCAGGTCCCACCTGCAGGCTGCCCCGCGGCTTTGGCGCACCTTCGCAGCGCTGGCTCCTTCGCCCGCGGCCTTCCCGATGCTGCCCCTGCCGCCCCCAGCCACCTGCCTGCACGCCTCCTCCACAGCCCCCCCGCCGCGCTCCCTGCGAGTCTTCTGTCGTTTCCAGGCTGTGATGCTCCCGTTGTCTTCCACCCCCGCCCCAATTTTTGTTGGAATTGTACTTATGCCTTTCGCATTTTCCTTTTTTAAAATCACCCTGCCTTTCCTGGGCTCCTTTTCTCATTCCAGGTGTTTGTCAGAGAACTTTTCTTACGTACGTGAAATCCAAAATGACCATTACACTCACCTGGATGTCTTGCTTTCACCTCCTCGCAAGATCACCTTGAGCGTTCTGGGGAGAGCGATGATGGCATGACCTTAGCCCCAGGTTGCTTCTAGGACCTGCGACTTCCCACAATGAGCTGGCCTAGGAGTCCAGCCGTTCGGCGCAGCCAGCGCCTGAATGCGCGGAGGGCCCCACCCGGCCTTCCCAAGGTGCAGTCCGCTTGCCGGGAGGCCCTCGCTATCACACTTCTCCGGACACTGCGGCCCCCGCCCGCTGGCCACATCCAGCATTTCCGCGGGAACACGTGGCTGTGGCGGCCCTCCGGGCCCGAGGCCACGCAGGCCGGCCACTGCATTTCAGCCGGCAGCCCTGGCCCACCTCTCCCGCTCCCGCCCCCGCCGGCGCCAGGTTTGCCTCCAGCCTTGGGGCTCGCTCAGCTGGACCCGCTGGTCCTCCCAGGATCAGGGCCGCGCCGCCGCTCTCCCGTCATGCCCGCAGGTCCCTCCCGCTGCCGCAGCTCCAGGCTCTAGAGCGCGTGGCTGGGAGTCCCGCTTCCGGGCCCCTCGCGGCCCCTGGCCGGAGGGGCGTGGGGACAGGTCTGAGCAGGGCCGTCGTGGCCGCTCTCATGGCAGCCGCTCTCCAAGAAGCCCGTCAGCCTCTGGCCTCGGATGCATCAGTGGGCACCGACCGTGCGCCTTCTACCAGTCACGCAGACTCCCAAGCGACGGCTCAGACATCCAAGTCCCGCGCTGGCATATCGGGTGTTCCCGGCAGTCCCAAGGGCCACCGGTTGCACCCAATCTGGCTGCGTAAAGGTATGCGTGGCTGCAAGCGCTCCCGTGGCCATAACGCGCGCCGGCCGTTCACTCGAGGGCCCCCTACCAGCGGGCCCGCACAATGCCCTTCCTTGTCTGGGATCGCCAGAGAGGCAGCACCAGCCTTTGCCAGACGGGACCCAAGCGGCCCGGGCTTCACTCCCCGCGTGGCTGTGAAACTCAGCGGGGAACGTCGGGCAGCCCCTCACTCAGCCTAACCAGAGGGCAGGTGATGGAGACAGCACACCCCACACCGGCGTGAGCCGCTTTCTGCCGGGGCCCTTCTGACCATGAGGTCCTCTGGCAGCACGAACCCTTTGGAGGAGGGCTGAATGTGGCCAGCCAGAGGGGCCGGGCAGAGGGCCGTAGGAGGGACCCCCACCCGCAGTCTCACTGGCCTCACGCGCCACCTCGGGGCCCCTGCGGCAGGTACCCTCGCCCGCACCGGTCCTGCAAATCGCACCGAGCGCAACGTGGCCGGGGAGCGACCGGGTTTCTGTGTGGAAGACGGAAGCCCCCTCATCAACCGGGACACGGGCGAGGCGATCGTGCCAGCACGGACGTGTGCCCGGCCCTGTCCTCCCAGCAGCCCCCCCGGCCAGCCACTTCGCGGGCTCCTCTGCGGCCAGCTGCCCCAGCCCCTCGCACACGAAATGCGCCACAGCCCAGAAGCACTGCAATGCTGGTTTTAATGTCTCTAAGAGCTAGGAAACAAAATCAAAAATAGACTTTCCTTTGCTCTTCTGATAAAAGTAATAAAATGGTTAGCACTGTTAAATTAAACCCTTAAAAAAAATCTCCAAGAAAGCCTGGAGCTTCAGATAGAAATCATGACGACTACAAAATGGCAGCCAAGACCTCTGCACGCGCACAGGAACGCCTTTGCTCCGCAGTTTACAGTGAACAGCATCAGTGAAAACACGCAACTGGGACACCTGGAAAGGAACCGGGGCAAGGCAGCAGAACCGCCCGTCGGGGAGCAGAGCTGCTGCGCTGACACGTATTTACACTATAGACACAGAACTGGGGCAGAGCGGCCCTGGGCGAGGGTGGCCGGCCGGCCGCCTCCTTCCCTTCAGGGCAGAAAGGCGGCCCAGTTCCGGCTGCCGTGCTGAGCCGCGGCTGCGCCCCCGGATCAGCAGGCCCAGTCTCTGGGGGGGGCCCTGGCTGTCCGCACCACCTGCCACGACTCCTGCGGCTCCTCCGGGGAGCTGCCACGTGACGGGGGCAGCAGGCGCCACTCGCCACGCATGCCCAAGGAAGAGGGCAGCTCGCCCAGCCAGCCAGCCAGCCAGCCAGCGGACATGGGGCGACCGTCCCCCCCCCTCCCCCCGGAGCACGTCTCTCCCCACGGCCGGGCAGCCCAGCCAGTTCGCCATCGCTAGTTAGGGGTCGTCTCCTGGCTGGCGCTCTGTTCCCGAACGGTCTCGCGCTCCTTGTCAGAAGCCGCGGAAGAGGAGGACGACGAGGCGGAGGAGGCGAGGGTCCGGCCCGAGTGCTTGCATGCCGCAATGAGCTCCTGGAGCCGCTCTGGCGTCGGCTCCCACTTGCTGAAGCCAGAGCTGTTCTGCAGGAAGAGCACGGCGGTGTTGTGCACGGCCTTGTAGTACATCTCCTCCCTGGAAGCGGAAAGAAAGGGGCTCACGGTGGGCCCCCGGGCCCTCTCGCTGCCCCGGCTCCAGGGCAGGGAAGCACCCGCGGCCGCCCCTGGCCGTGCCTGCCGGCATCGGCGGACACCCTTGCAAGCAAGCGCACCGGAGGAGGGCAGGTGAATGGGCGGCCCAGTAGGCGCGGAGAACGGGACGTCTGCCTGCCTCTCGTACGCTCGGGCTGCAGCAGCCCCCCTGCCCTGCCCTGCCCTGCCCTGCCAGGAGACGCTGCGAGGGCTCACGCCTGGCGCCCGCCACAGGTCGTGCCTGAGCTATGGGTCCCAGGCCGTCGAAGCAAGCTCAGCTCTGAGGCACACAGCCAGACGGAAACTGAATCCACCCCACTGAGATGCAGAGATGGACAACGGCCTTCAACAGCTCCAAAGGAAATCGGAGGCACGCGTGGGAAGTAAAGCTCTGAGTGGCTACTAGTCACAGCGAAAGTGACCCCCAGGGAAACAGGAGGGGTGCCCCCCGCCCCGGTTCTGGGACATAAGGGTGTTGCTGTGGCCACTGGGCATCCAGTCCGCTGACCTATGGCGCCCGCATGAATGGACACGCTCCAGAATGTCCTGCACGGACACAGGCAGGAGAGCCCATCGCACATGCGTGCGGTCTGCGGACTGCCCAGGGGCGCCTGGTTGGCCACCGTGGGGGCAGAGCGCTGAGCTGGGCAGTCCCCCGCAGGGCCTGTCATGCCACAGCCTGGCTGGCAGCGTGCTGGGCCAGAGACCGGCCCAGCGAGCCACGACGGCAGAGCAGGAGGGCCCACACGGGGGCTGGGAAGCCCGCAGGAGGGCATGAAGGTGCCCGTGGCGCCCCAAGGGCCGGGCGCCTTTGTGGATGAGGCACCCAGCCAGCCCGCCCTCTCCGCGGGTGCCCCGGACGACCTCCTCACGCTTGCGCGGGTCCGGAGTGCGGAAAGGCACGAGGGAACCTGCCGCTGCCGGCCCGGCCGCCAGGGGAGACGCGCCCCCCCCCCGAAGGCAGGGCCCCGGCGGGTTCCGCACGAAGGGGCCTCCCCTCGGCTTACTTTCTGCAGAGGTGCTGGGAGCCGCTGCGGTACTCGTGGTCGAAGGCGGGCAGGATGAGCTGCTGCCGCTTGAACCGGCTCTGCTCCATGCGCGTCAGGGCCGGCGTGGGGGGGTCCCGCCACTCCGGGATGAAGACGATGAAGGACAAGGGCTCCTTGGAGGCCTCCAGCAGGGTCTGGGGCAACAGGGAGGACACGCAAGCTCAGGCAGAGCGCAGGCTGGCGGGGGGAGGCCAAGGGGGCTGGGCTGCCTCATGGCAAGGCGCCACTGCCGGGGGCTGCTCACCTCGAAGTGGGACACCATGGCATCCATCAGCTCCTCACAGAACGGAGGGTTTGCCTCAAACGAGCCGCTGATGGGGAAGAAATCCAGGCAGGGGCTGAAGAGGAGGACAAGAGGAAGGAAGAGGTGGCCTTGACCAGCGGGAGCAGAGGGGGCGGCACCCCGCCCCGTCAGCGCACACCCCCCGCCGGCTCCTGGCAGAACAGGCGCTCAGCAGGCAAGGGCCTCGCCTCGCCTTCCGGGCAAGCGCAGCACTGCATCTTCGTGCTTTCTCCTCCTGTTTCAGCACGCTGGGACCTGAAGGGTCGTGCGATGGCAGAGGGGGCGGGGGGCCCTCGGTCCAAGCCACTCCATCCCTCTCGGGGGCGGTCCAGCGGCCGCACGAAGGCCTCCGGTGCGCAGAGCCCGCCGCTCGCCCACCCGCCCGCCCCGCAGTTCCCACGGCCGCTCCTGGGCCTGCACTGCTGGCACTCACCCCCTGGAGCCAAAGTAGCCGTCGGTGTCCAGGAAGGCCGAGCAGTACTGCTTGAAGTAGCAGTTCAGCGGGGAGGCGAAGCACTCAAAGCTCACGCCGAAGAGCTTGTGGAGGGCCTCGAAGACGTGCACGGGGAGCGCCCCCTGCAGCCCGGTCCCTTCGTACATCCCGACACCGAACATCATCTGGGCACAAGGCGGACCGGCGGCATGAGCGGCGAGGCCAGGCGGCCCGGGGTCCCCACAGAGCTACCCAGCATGCCTCCCTGCCCCGGCAGCCCCGCCTGGCCGCAGCGCCCGGCCCACAGCCCCACCGGCTGGGCCACGTCCCGCAGGCAGCCCTTACCTGGTACCTGCGGAGGAGGCACCAAACCCGGGGCAGGAAGCGCTCGAAGGCGGAGTCGTCGATGCAGCTGTACCGATAGAGCAGCCACTGCAAGAGGAAGTCACGGCGGGGCAGGAGTGGAGAAAGGCTCGGCGGGCCGGCCGCGGGTCCCCTGCCCCCCCAGGAGCCGCCCAGCGGAGAACGGTCGCGCCCCACCACATACCAGCTTGCTGAAGTAGTTGCGGCTGATTTTCACCATCTCGCCCTTGTAGCGCACGCACATCAGGTTGTTCTCCATGTGCATCTCCACGCTCGGCAGCGGGGGCGAAGGGACGGCCAGCCTCGCTGGGTAGCAGTAGATGAGCCGGTCCTGCACCTCGGGCGCCTCCAGCTCGGCTGCAGGTCAGGGAGCGAGTCAGGCCCGCCGGCCCAGGGCTGCCCAGGCGGGGGGAGCCCAAAGGCACCTCCACGCTGCCCAACCCTGCCCCCGCGGGACACCCCCCCCGGCACGCACCGGGAATACTGTGATCCTTGAGGATTTCCAGGTGCTTCTCTCGGATGCGCTTGGCGTACTCCAGTGAGATGTGGTAGATCTTGCTGCAGATGCCTTCCACCGAGTCCTTGGCCGCGGCCGAGACATGGGGCCCGCACTGCTTGCGCAGGTGCTCCAGGCGGTCCTGCACGGGAGAGGAGAGGCTCGGATGCGTGCGGACCACCCCAACGGGGCCACCCGGCCGGGTCCTGTGCGCCCCCAGCTGCACCGCCAGTGGAAACGAGGCAGGGCACGTGCCCAACCTGGGGCCGCCCCGCCCCGCCCCAGGGGAAGCCCGCTGACCATGTAGTCCTCCTTTGAGGCCGAGTGGTCGCGCCGCAGCCAGCTGAAGGTGTCCTCCACGTTCCACTTCACCACCTTCCTGCTGTCGGGAGAGGCGCTCCTGCACAAAGAGCAACGCGGCTGTGCCCAGCTCTGGTCCGCCCGCCCGCCCGCCCGCCCCTGGACAGCTCTCCTCCCGGGACGCCCTGCTCCGTCCCCTCCTCCTCAAGCACCCAGCCACTGCGGCCGCCCTTGCCCAGCAAGCCGGTCCTACCTGGATTCAATGAGTCTCTTTGCAGCCTCAGCGTATTTGAACAGCAGCCGCTTGGCCTCCTCACGGAATTTGATTCGGGACAATCTGCGGCCACAGACAGCAAGATGGGGGAGGGATGAAGCGAGCTGCCCAGAGCTGCCAGCAGCAGCCCCTCCTGCCCCCCCCCCACGGCCCATACCTGATGGGAATGTCATTCATGATTTCTCTGAACATGGAAGGGGACACGACTGGCTCACAGTTGCTTGGCAGTAAGGGATCCATCCCCTTGTCCACCACCTTCCGCTCCAGCATCCAGCGGTTGAAAGATTCTCGCGGAGGATCGATCCCTGTGGGGAAAGCACCGTGAGGACTCAGCCCCAGGCAGAGGCGGCGGCCTCGCGCTCCGGGGGAGGCCAGGACCCCCGGCAGCATGCGGGGCGGACGCACCCTCTCGCTGCTGGCAGAGCTCGCGGTAATGCTGGCGCAGCTTGAGCATCAGCTGAGATCGCAGGAGCTCCACCTCAGGGTGCGGGGCCAACACCTCCGAGGGCGCTCTCTGCTTGAGCACGGCATTCGTCTGGATGTCTAAGTCCCAGTACACCCTGCAGGGGAGAGAGAGGCCGAGAAGCTGCGAGGCTGAGCCAGCCGCAGGCCCGCTGCAGCCGGGCAGGGATCCTCACTCCAGCCCTTGGCCTGGAATGCATCTCCCCACCGAGCCCCTGGAGAGCACACGGACCGAGGCGAGGCTGTCCTCCCACCCCTCAAAAACCGAGACTCACTCCGTTGGCCGTAAGAGGGTAGCTTGCTTGTCCTCCGGAGACACACCCCACATCTTCAGCAGCGGAGTCCCCAGGGGGTTCGAAGTGTTCGGGACTGACTGAGCCGAGAGGTTTCCAGGGACATCGGCCTGAACGTGAGACAGGGCAGGCTGCCTTGGGCGAGGCGGCAGGGCCAGCGTCATGCACCCTGCCCGGGCTCTGGCCCACCTCCCAGCTGCTCCCTCCCCCGCCAAATCACGGGGCTCGGGGCAGAGGTGAAGGGGAGCCAAGCATCCGGAGAGCGCTTGCCTCCTGCAGCTGGGCCTGAGGGGAGCAGCAGAGGAAGTCGCTCCACCCGTGGCTCCAGGCCGGGGAGGGGGCAGGGGCGGATGGGCCAGAGATGCCCAGCACCCCGCAGGGCCCCAGCACCCCTGCACATAGCACGGGTGTCCACTCTCTTGGCTTCTCTGGGCCACATTGGAAGAAGAAAAATTGTCTTGGGCCACACGTTAAATACGCAAACACGAACAAAAGGGGATGAGCAAAAACATAGGTCTGTGCATAATTTTTGTGATACCTGCCACCACAGATAAGCATAAGTCCTCAAAAATCCTAATTATGTGGCACCCCGTTCAGAGAGTCTGCAAAATCGTCGAGCAGGTCCCAAGTTTGCAAGCGTAATATAGAAAATGAACATATCTAAGTAATTCAACCACTGATTTTTAAAATATTTACTATAAAAGTAAAAGAAAAGAGGACAGGATAAAACTAATGGAATCTTTGACATTGTATTTGAGAGACTAGCGCATCAGTATCTGGTTTGATGGAAGTAGTTGCAATTCTCAGTGAATTCTCAAGGTGCTCATCAGATATTTGGTTCTAATTTTAGTCTTTAAAATAGTTGCTCAAAAATGTGGGTGCTGCAAAAAAGCGAAGACGTGATAAGGCGTGATTGTGAAGCGAGGGGTATTTGTCTCTGGGAAGATGAGGCCTGTAAAAGCCCACGGTCAAATTTTTCTTTCAGCTGAATGTCAGGTTGCAGCTCCAAGGTTTCCATTTGAAAATTGGCAGGTAGCATATTTATGTTAACTGAAAATGGAGTCGCAAGTATACCAAAAGAGGGATTATTTTCCCAGAAATTTTGACATCTCTTTTAAAATTCTTGTATCAAATTGGAAAGAAAGGCTGCATATTTGTTGCTGTTCACAGAACCGTGTTCAGCCAGCGTGTCGAAAAGCGTAAGATTGTTTGCAACGGTAGGTCTGAGACATCGTAATGGCTGGGTTTCGCTTGTCGAGTCACCATGAGCACATGTCATGTCAGAAGTGGAAAGAACTGGAAACACACTGGAAAGCGCACACTGCTGTAAAACTGAAGCCACGCATGCATACCAATAGTGAGAGACAGAAACATTTTTTAACGTGACACTGCGACACAACATGGTTGTCTACAAAGTTCATGCTCAAGAACTGCGTGATCGAGTTACAAAAGAATTCATGAAAAACACGCTCTGCTCCCCGGTGGCCGCTCTCCAGCCCTCCCGGAAGCCAGCTAAGGGAAGGAAGCCCCATGTGGCCAGGAGCCTCGGGGGTCCGGAACCTACCTTGGGCTTCTTCACACTGTTGCCACTGGGCTGGACCTCTTCGGAAAGCCTCCGTTTCCGCATCTTGCCTTCCGGGGCGGTGGCTTCACTGACCGCCCCTTCGGCCGGCAGGGGGGTGGCGTTCAGACCGAGAGGGTCAGACTGGGGAGCCCAGAAAGAGACAAGCCGGGCTGTGAGTCCACGATGCCCCAGCCCCATCAAGACACAGCCAGCAGGACGCCCGCCCCCCGCGCCCCGAAAGCTGCCTGGCCACTCACAATGACATCGTGCTGCCCCAGGAGCGGCATCTCCCACAGCGACTGGTTGGTGAAGCGGTTGAAGTAGTAGGGGCGGCTCTCACGCTTGCTCCAGCACTTCTCCCAGCCGGCCTGCACCAACTCATCTGAAAGCGAAGGAGTCTGGGTCAGGAAGCTGAAGAAGGGGAAGACGGGGCTGCCTGCTCACGCATGGGCGGCCCCGGCCCCCGGCGCTGCCCAGCTTCTCCCCGTGGCCAGAAAGTACCCGGCAAGTCCTGCACCAGCCGAATGGGCTTGGGGGAGCTGGGCTGGTTCTGGTGGGAGGTGCCGGGGGAGTGGCTCATCAGCGCAGCTTCCTCCGCGGAGCTGCCGTGGTTTTCATTGGCCATGGCACACCTGCACTGGAAAGAGCACACGGGAATGGCATCAGACCCTGCTGCCGCACAGCCACGTCCCTGAGCCCCGGCCCAGGCCGACCCGACCGGGCGGACGAGGCGGCACCCAGCGCAAGGAGGGCAGCCGCGGCTCTTCAGGGAACACGCTCGCCCTGCATGCTATTGGCTGCGAACTGGCCCAGAAACCCGCCCCAGCGCAGCTCTGCTACCCAGCAGTGTCTCTGGCAACAGTCAGCCCTCGACTTTGAGCAGGAAGGATCCAAGAGAGTCGGCTTCTCCCTGAGCCGACCCCCGAAGGGAGCCCAGCTCCTCAGCGGCTGCACTCAGTTGAGCCACTCGAGGGCCACTCTGCTGCAGGGGCAATGGAAGGCCAGCATTGTCCAGCTCCCTGCCCACAGGCAAGCAGATGCCCCCTTCCCAAGCAGCCCCACCCCATCAGTTGCCCCTATTTTGCCATCACAGGAATGGCAGCGGAAAGGACATGGCGCGGGAAGCTCAGTCAACACACTGCAGCCGTTGTATGATCCTCGGTGCATGCGCCTGTCAGTCATGTCGCAGCAACACCCTTTGGGTTCGGTACGCCCTACTTTGATTAGCCTACCATATCTACTACCCCCAGAACCTAGACAGTTATAGTACAACTACCTTTTCAACCCCACAAGGATTAGCACTGGGGTCAGAGCTACATGGTGATGCACGTGATCCGCAGCACGGACTTCAACCCTTATGTAAGCTCGGGAAATGATGATGGAGAACAGCAAGCAGCTTGTCCTGCTGCCTCCTCCTGCTGGGGGATGCCTCCGTTTTTCAGAGAAATGAAGATGCACACTGGGTTCAGAAACCATGAGTGGGAATCAGAGCCCGAGCCACCATGCAGTCTGGGTCAGGCTTGGCATTACCAAGCTCACGGATTCTCTGGGATGCAAGATCTTTCCCGCCTCAGGGCGACGAAGGCCTTTGTGCCACAGCTACGCCTTCCAGCGGGTCAGAGAACTACTGCTTGGCAACGGTGCCGTGAACTCCCAGCCCTCCTGTAAAGCTGCAATTCGGCTCCCCAACAGGAGCTGGAGCAGCTGAAAGCGATTCAGCACGGCAGAGAAAGCTTGCGACCGATTCGAGAGGTGCTGAAGCACAGCTAATTCTCTGCCAGCACAAGGAGCAAGCGGGCGCTTCGAGCAGGGGACGTGCAGCCCGCAACGCATCTGGGGGGCACGAGGAGGGGCAGGCGCTTCTGCCCCGCTGGAACCGCCCGCGCTGGCCGCGCCGCGCCGCACCGGAGCGAGCATGGCAGCGGGCGCTTGGGAACGGGAGGTACCCACGGGGCGGGCGGCTCCGTGCCACGGGGGGGCGGGCGCTTCCTCGGGTGTCTTCGCGGGTGTTGCGCGGAGGGCGACCCGCTCGCCGGCGTCGGCACCAATCGAGCATCCAACGGCCGCGGGCTGCCTCGCGGCGGGCCCCGGGCAGCCGGGCTACTCACGGCTGGCGTCTGCCGCGCGGGCTCCTCCGGTCGGGCGGGCGGCCACGGGCCCG